TTTTTTTTCTTTCAGAATTTTATATATGTCATCCCATTATATTCTTGCCTACATGGTTTTTGCTGAAAAATCAGAGTTTAGTCTCAGGATTCTTTCATTGTCTTTAGTTTTGAAAAATTGAGTATAATATGTCTTGGTAATTTTCTTTTGGAGTTTTGGAGTTTGTTTGAGCTTTTGAGTGTATGCCTTCTTGTCTCTCATGATGCTAAGGAAGTTTTCTTCAAACATCTCCTGGACAATTTTCTCTACTGTTGTTGGTTTTTTCTCTCTCTTCCTATTATGGAATTCCAACCACAGGTAAGTTATTCCTCTTGATAGTGTTCCACATATCTTAGGCTTTCTAAAAAAAATTTTTTTTGATTGTTCCTCTAGCAGATGGATACGAGAGATTTGTCTTCAAGCTCATGAATCAGCCTTCCATTGATTCAATTCTACTTCTTTGCTCTTTCAATGTACTACCTATTTCTGATGTCTTAATATTAATCTTCTGGCTTCTTAACTGTTATTTTAAAATATTTTCTAATTTTTCCTTTGTCAGTTTCTTCTTGTAATGTTTTCCTGAATTCTTCTAAAGTTTTTTCTGTGTTTTTCTTGCTTTCCTTGATCTTTTTTCTCAATCCATTGAAAATGCTAAATATTATTTTTTTAAAATTCCTTATCAAGTAATTCTGATAACATTTCTAGTATTATATTTTCTGAATATGTATTTTGGCCACATGTTTGAGACATTCTATTTCATTTCATGTAAGCTGACATTGTCTGTTTTCTCCAAGACATTGTGGTATTGTATTTACGTTTAATTGGTCATGGTATATTTAATTGATGGTGTATTTAACTCATGTTATATTTAACTAACTCACTACCTTACTCCAGTGGATGTGAGAGAGACTGAAGTGTGAATGCAGTTCTCTGTTCATAGTTCAGGGCAGGTATATATAGGTCCAGAAGCAGGGGTGGCACTTACAGTGCTTGACCCCAAGCAGAGTTGGGGCTGCACAGAAAGGGGTACCACTGACCACGGGTTGACAAGGGCAGGGACTGGACACATCCCTGTCTACCAGAAGGGAAAATGCACCCCCTTGCTTTCAACCTCCAGCCACATCCTGTGCCTTCAGGCCACTGTAGCAAGCTGCTTATAAAAGCTCAAGATGGCTGCGCCATTCCACACCCATCTATTTTTATCTCTCTCACTTCTCCTGTTCAACTTCTTCTCGTCAGCACTCAATCCACCTCTCTGTCCTAGGCTTTGAAGATTAGGGTTTAAGAATCACCATCTGTATTTGTTTCACTGGGTCTCTCATGTGTTTGTTGCAGAGGGTCTGCTCAGTGAGTCCACCTACTCCATCATCTTGCCCCAGAAGTCTGGAAGCATGTTATTGTGGAAGGATTCAAGTGGGAAATTTTTTTTTTTTTTTACTTTTTATTATGAATTGAGTGAAGGTTTACAGAGAAGACAATCTTTACATTCAACAAACAATAAATTTGTTTTATCTCAATGATCGCAATCCCCTCCAAGGAACAACAGTTATCCCACTTCCTCCCTGTGGCTCCCACCCCTTCTCAACTTTGTCCTTAGGTTAATGTTGTCCTTTGATTTTAAATTATTGACCATTTCATCATCCATAGTGACCATACTTTACTCGTGCTGTTTTTCCTTCTATATCCCTTTCTACTGCTTGGCTGAAAGTTGGACCATGAGCATGAGTTTGTTTCCAGACCTGAAGGGTGGTTGAGGGCCACAGTCTTAGTCTCTTTCTGACTAGTAAGCTCGGTCTCTCTTTTTTTTAAATAATTTTGTGGTTTGCTCCACATATTTTGCCACAGTATCCAGGACCTTCTAATGGGATCTCTATTGATGTGGTTGGTGTAGTGGTAACTAGGCACCCTCTAGTTCTGCTCTCTGACTTACGGGGACTGATGTTCACATCCACTGGTCCATTGGACTAATTGATTCAAAGTATCTTCAATTCTCTACACTCTTCTTTCGTATGCACATGGAGACACCAATAGTTGCACCTTAAATGGACACTCATGAGGTTTTAATATTTCAGACGTTACTCATCAAAGTAGAATATAAAACACTATCTTTATGGACTAGGTTATGCCAATTGACCATGGTGTCCCCTGAGACTATGGTCCTGAGCCCTCAAGATCAGCTACTCATTGCCTTAAGATATTTGATGAAATAATTTCTAGTACTGAAATTTCCCATGAATTTTCCCAAGGCCAGATAAACCTATTACAGAATGTACTTTTAAAGGAATTAGGATAATGTTTTGCTAGTTATTTTATGCTGTATAAGATAACTCAATCACATTGTGTACTCCTAGAATACTAAATAGTTCCCCAAATGCTAGGGACTAACAATACACTTTAGAGGGGCTGTCTTTGGAGTTTTTTTGGTTTTCTTTTCTTTCTTTTTTATTAAATGATAAAAGCTCGCTAGCTCTATTTCAGAGCTCACAATTGATGAATAGCACTAAGAAAGAATCATTTGTCCAATTTTTCCCAAAGAAATACCCATTGAATTGTCTTCAATTTTTCCCTTCTCTGAAACTACTGACCTTTTCATACAAAATGTGCTTGGAAATGTAGGTAGTATTTTTTTAAATAATGTGTGGTCAATCTTCTAGACACTTAACTTTATTATGTGTTCCATTACAAAATTATGTGACTCAAGCATATGGTCTTCTCTAATTTAATAGTATGATATGGAACCTTTTCTCATCCTTTCTGTACCAAAAGGACATTTTAAAGTATAGCTTTACTCATGTAAATCCCAAATTTCATACTAGACATTTCAACCCAAACCATTTTTATTTTGAGTTCGATGACAAAGAAGCTCACCTTTCTCAAAAGAATAAAGAATTTGGATCCTGATTCTAGGTTTGTCTACAGTGCAGTGTGCGGTAAAATCTAAAGCTGTTGTTTTGAGGAACAGGGCTTCCTCCTTTGTGGCTACCCTGGCATCTTTACATCCTCTATAGTAGTTTCCTGTGGCTGCCATAACAACTTCCACAAATTGGGTGGTTTAAACAACAAACACTTATTGCCTCACACTTCTGGAGGCCAGAAATCTGAAATCAGCATCACTGTGTTGAAACCATTGTGTCTGCAGGGTCAAATCCCTCTAGTGATCCTAGGAGGAAATCCATTTCTTGCCTCTTCCAGCTTCTGGTAGCTGCCAGTTTATTTTGGCTCATTGCCCTATCACTCCGGTCTTCAAAGCCAGCATCTTCTAATATCTCTGTACTTCATCTTTGTATCACCTTCTCTGTGTATTTCAAATCTTCCTTTTCCTCTCTTAATAAGAACACTTGTGGTTATACCAAGTAATCCAGGATTATCCCCTTATCTCAAAATCCTTATATGACTATCTACAAAGACCCTTTTCCCAAATATATTAACATTTACAGGTTCCATGAATTTAAATCTGGTATATTAGGAGAGGTGAATTTTTTGCAGTCTACAACATTTCTTAATGTTTCAGACTACTTTGAATGATACAGGTCCTAGGAGGCCAAAAGCCTTAGAGAAAATCCAAAAATTAAATCTCCCCTTTCAGAGCTCTTTCATAGAATTCTAACCCATACATTTTCTATTTTGAATGTTGAAACCTACAAAATCTAGGTCCAAACTCCTAAAAAAGTAGGCTTATGTTTATACTAAGTTACAAACTAGGAAACCAGTCTTGAAAACTTAACCTTTCTTATAACTTCCTTTCCCCACCCTTCCCTCAATATGTAAAATGAGAAGAATTTGGCTTATATTTTAGAGTTGTCAAGATTAACCAAATTATTCAATAGAGCATCTGACACATCTTGTTGCTGTTTTTAGGTGCCATCAAGTCGGTACCAACTCATAGAGATCCTATGCACAAAACACTGCCTGATCCTGGGCCAATCTCACAATTGTTGCCTCGGTTGAGCCCATTGATGCCGCCATTTTGCCAATCCATTTCTCTGAGGGTCTTCCCCTTTTTCTCTGACCTTCCACCTTAACAAACGTGACATCCTTCTCCAGCGACTGGTCCCTCCTGACAATATGTCTGAAGTATGAGAGACAAAGTTTGGCCATACTGGCCTGCAAGGAGCACTCTGGCTGCACTTCTTCCAACACAGATCTGTTTGTTCTTCTGGCAGCCCATGGTACTTTCAATATTCTTCTCCAACACCATAACTCAAAAGCATCAGTTCTTCTAAGGTCTTGCTTATTCACCGTCCAGCTTTTAGACACTCAATAAATACTATACTGTTACGGATTGAATATGTCCACCCAAAAGATGTGTTGAAGTCCCAACTCCTAGACTTGTAAATATGACCTTGTTTGAAATAGCAGATTCCTTTTGTTATGTTAATGAAACCAGGCCAAAGTAGGGTGGGTCCTAAAACGAACTCTTTCTGAGTCGCATCTTATAAAATAAGCAAAATAGACATAGGCACACACAGGAAGAGATGAAGTCTTGCTAACCTGGCTTCTAAGGAGAATTAATAAATGTTTAATAATTACTATGGCGTTGGAGGAGAATGTTGGAAGTGCCGTGGGCTGCCAAAAGAACCAATAGATCCGTTTTGGAAGAAGTGCAGCCAGAGTGCTCCTTGGAGGCCAAGATCGCCAAACTTTGTCTCTCATACTTCGGACATATTGTCAGGAGGGACCAGTCGTTGGAGAAGGATATCATGTTTGGTAAAGTGGAAGGTTGGAGAAAAAGAGGAAGACCCCCCCAACGAGATGGATTAGCCAAGTGGCAGCATCGATGGACTTCAGTGTGGCAACAGTGGTAAGGTTGGCCCATAATCGGGCAGTGTTTCGTTCTGCTGTGCGTAAGGTCACTATTATGAGTTGGTACCAACTCAGTGGCACTTAACAACAAATTATTTATTGACCACCTGCAATGATTTCTTTCTTTCTGATTAGCATATGTTATTGTGTAAATCACCATTTGTTGTTGTTGTTAAGTACCATGGAGTCAGTTCTGACTCATAGTGATCCTGCACAGGGTTTCCCAAGCTGTAAATCTTTACGGGAGCAGAATGCCTTATCTTTCTCCTGCAGAACCACTGGTAGTTTTGAACTGCTGATGTTGAGGTTGGCAGCCTGACTCGTAATTGCTATGCTACCCGAGCTCCTTAAATCACCATTTAAGTTATCTAATTTTAAAATGTGACAAGCTCAAATTTGAAAAGAACTTTCTAAGACTTGACACACATTTTGCCTAAGCAATATAAAGTCCATAAACATTTGTGATGTAACTGCATAATGTTAGCCATTATGCCAAGCTTTGAAAAATCAATGATAAAAATTTATGGTGCCTAATTTAAGGAGCTCACCTGTGGATAATTAAACATGTGGAAACAAATGTGGTGGTGGTTATGTGCCGTAGAGTCCATTCCGACTCATAGCGACCCCATAGAGGGTTTCTGAGGCTGTAAATCTTTATGGGAGCACAAAGCCTCCCGTAAACAGCTGGTAGTTTCTAAGTGCTGACCTTAGGTTCGCAGCCTGACTGGTAACCACTAAGTTACCACAGCTCTTTGGAAACAAATATAGCTATCCTAAATCAATACCTCAAGTGTCAAGAAGTACAAAGAACTGTCAAAGTTAATAAGCTGTTTCTTTGTATCAATAGAAATGACATTTGTACTGAGCCAAGAAGGATAGGAAGTTATGAAGCTTGCAAGGATTGGAGAAGCATTCCATACAGAAGTCACAACACGCTCTAAGGCACTGAAGTATAAATGGGTAAGGTATTTATTAGAGGACAGAGAGGCTGGAAAGGTAGGCTTGTGTCTATTGAGGGCCTTTATCTCATTGTCAAGAGTTTAGACTTAAGTTTATGGCTATCCGGAAGTCACTTGAGGTAGGTGGATGTGTTGCTAGTTAGGTTTCCTTAGCAGGGTGACCTTGTATTTCCTCTGTTTCTGCTCAGTTGTAAAATTCTGCTGATGCCACTTCCTTTAAGGGCTCTCTGCTATAAAAACAGATAGCCAACTGAGAAACTGTTTATAAAGTCTGAGAAATTATTTCAAATTCTATATTTTAGGGAAATTTCTTTCCTTATTTGCTATGGCATTATTGTTATTGTTATGTGCTGTCGAGTCAGTTCCGACTCATAGTGACCCTGTATTTGGTTTCCAAGGAGCAACTGGTGGGTTTGAATCACCAACCTTGTGGTTAGCAGTCCAGTGCTTATCATGCAGCACCACACCATGACTCCATTATGATACTGGAGATACCAGTATTGGACACCTGCTTCTGAAATCCAAGTTTTTAAAATGTGGTTAATATCGCAATTGCTATATGAATTTGTCTAGTTTCTTCCTCTGTTTCTTAGAGTTGGCTTTAATTCAAACATAATCATCATGATTTTTACCATTGCTTGCCTCTACACTTTTTAGTTACAAAGAAACAGCTAGACCTAAGGGTAGGAGTGAAAGGTAAGACTGGTGGCAGGGAGGAATCATGCCGGGAAGGGAGGAAGAACTAGTAAAAGGTTGCTGTAGTGGGTCCAGGCCCTGAACTCAAGCAGACCAGGCTGGACTTGAGAGCAAACTCTCACAAAGAAAGATGGCCACCTCCCTTAGCCTTTGTCCTCCTTCCTTTATGGGTCCATGCTTCTGGAATTGACTCACACTCTGGCCCTCAGAGGTAAAACAGCTTTATTTAACATGTTTTAGACAGAGGAGGATGTTTTTTTTTTTCCCTCTTTACCTCTTTTATATTTGTGAAATATTTATAAACAAAACAGAGGATTTATATATTATTGTTGTTGTCAAGTGTCATGGAGTTGGTTCTGATTCATAGTTACATGTAGTGTTTCCAAGAAGTTAGCAGTCCCGTGCTGATTCTACAGCACTCTACCAGAACCCAGAGGGTAGCAAAGAATAAAACCAATATTTCCTTGTAGGAAATAACTGGAGAATTTTGAGGATCAACTCTGTACAGTCGGAGATACATTGTATGCATACTGATGAATGGGACAGAGGGTTCAGTCATACTGTGTGGGGGCTTGAGACTGTCATGTTCTTTTTTTTTTTTTTTTCACTTTGTCTGACTCTAAGCCCATATTCCAGTGAAGGAAGAAGGAAATCCAATTTCAGGGATCTCTAGGCCTCACCTCCCCTCCCCAGGGTCTATATGGTGTGGGAGTGAATATGAGGGTGAACCTCTAATTAGCAGTTCATCACGGTCATTGTTGGGCTCCTGAAACTCAACAGCTCTTTGCTTTGTTCTGTGCAAGGCAGAGAGAGGGCTCATCTCAATTCCCCCTTTCTCTTTAGTCTACTACCACAAATGTCAGTTTTCATTGCTCTGAGCAGAAAGCTATCTGCTTTACTCTACGTTTCTTATGAGCAAACTTGCAAATAAACAACATTCTTATCAACAGAGAAAACGTTGAAGTTGTCAAGGACTTTGTTTTTCTTGGATCAACTATCAACACTCATGGAAGCAGCAGCCAAGAAATCAAACGACGTATTCATTAGGCAAATCTGCTGCGCAAGATGTTTTAAAAGTGTTGAAGAGCAAAGATGTCAGCTTGAGGACTAAGGCGCGCATGACACAAGCCATGGTATTTCAATAACTTCACATGCATGCAAAAGCTTGACAGTGAATAAGGAAGACCGTAGAAGAATTGATGCTTTTGAGTTATGGTGTTGGAGGAGAATTTTGAAAGTACCATGGGCGGCCAACAGAACAAACAGATCCGTGTTGGAAGAAGTGCAGCCAGAGCGCTCCTGGAAGGCCAGGATGGCCAAACTTGGTATCTCATACTTTGGACATATTGTCAGGAGGGATCAGTCACTGGAGAAAGATATCACGTTTGGTAGGGTGGAGGGTCAGAGAAAAAGAGGAAGACCCCCAATGAGATGGATTGACCAAGTGGCAGCATCGATGGACTCAGGCGTGG